TTAATCAGGTTACTCGTGTTTCTTACTGTTAAGTTGTTTGAGTTCCTCATGTATTCTCAGTATTAATCCCTTGTCGAATTCAGTTTGCAAATATTTCTCCCATTCTGTAGGTTGTCTTTTTACTCTGTTGTTTCTTTTGCTGTGCAGAAGCTTTTTGGTTAGCTATAATTTCATTTGTTTATTTGTTTGTTTGTCTGTTTGTTTGTTTGTTCTTTTATTTTCTGTGATTTGGGGGTCTTATTCATAAAGTCTTGGCCCAGTCCTACATCCTGAAGCGTTTCCCCTGTTTCCCTTTAGGAGTCTTATACTTTCAAGTCTTATATTTAAACCTTCAATCAATTTTGATTTGGTTTGGGAATATGGCAAGAGGTATGTGTCTAGTTTCATTTTTATATGTATAGATGTCCAGTTTCCCTAGCACCATTTATTGAGAAGGCAGTCTTTTCCCCAATGTATGTTCTTGTTGCCTTTTTCAAAGATTAGTTCAATGTAAGTATGTAGATTGGTTCCTGAGCGTTCTACTCTGTTCTATTAGTCTGAGCATATTTATGCCAGTACTATGATGTTTTGATTACAATAGCTTTGTAGTATATTTTGAAATCAGGTAGTGTAATGCCCCTGGCTTTACTGGCTTTATCCATCTATCTGTCTATTTATTTATTTATTTATTTATTTATTTATTACTTATTTATTTTTTGCTCAGGATTGCATTGACTATTCAGGGTCTTTTGTTGTTCCTTATGAATGTTAGGATTTTTTTTTTTTTTCTATTTCTGTGAAGAATGTCATTGGTATTCTGCTGGGGATTGCATTGAATCCTTAGATAACTTTTTTAATTGTTCCAACCCAAGAGCATGGAATGTCCTTCCGCCTTTGTGCCTTCTTTAATTTCTTCCAACAGTGATTTGTTTCTGTCATTGTAGGGATCCTTCGCCTTCTCAGTTCAATTGATTCCTAGGTATTTTTGTGTGTGTGTGACTATTGTAAATGAGCTTGCATTCTTGATTTTTTTTCCTAGTTTGTTATTGGAATATTAAAATGCAACTGAGTTTTGTGTGTCAATTTTGTATCCTGCAGTTTTATTGAAATCGTTTATTAGCTCTGAGAGGTTCTTACATAGAGTCTTTGGGTTTTTCTTCATATAACGTCATGTCATCTGCAAACAGAGACAGTCTGGTTCATCTTTTCCAATATGAATACCCTTCATTTTTCTCTCTTGTCTGGTTGCTCTGGATAGTACTTCTAATTCTGTGCTAAATAAGAGTGGTGAGTGTGGGTGTCCTTGTATTGTTCCTGCTCTTAAGGGAAAAACTTTCAGCTTTTGCCCATTCAGGATGATACTGGCAGTGGGTTTGTTGTATATAACATTTATTGCAGTGAACTTCCTCTTAGTACTGCTTTTGCAGTATCCTACAGGTTTTGGTATGATATGTTTTCATTTTCATTAGTATCAATAATTTTTTTGAGTTCCCATTTAATTTCTTCTTGGGCCCATAAATCGCTCAGGAGCTGTTCAGGAGTTGTTGTTAATTTCTATGTATTTGTATAGTTTCCAGAGTTTTTCTACTTATTAATTTATAATTTTATTCACTTGTGTTATGAAAAGATACTTGAAATGATTTAATAATTTTTAATTTGTTGAGACTTAATTTGTGACCTAACACTTAGTCTATCTTGGAAAATATTCCATGTGGTGATGAGAAGAATGTATACTCTGTAGTTGTTGGATGAAATGTTCTGTAGATATCTGCCAAGTCCAATTGGTCTTAAATGTAGTTAAAATCCTATGTTTCTATGTTGATTTGTTGCCAGGATGGCCTGTCCAATAATTAGAGAGGGGTGTTCAAGTCCCCAGCTATTATCATATTGGAGTCTCTTTCTTTAGGTCTAATAATGTTTGGTATGTATATCTGGGTATTCCAGTGTTGGAAGCATATATAATTGTGACAGTTATGACTTCTTGCTTGATAGATCCCTTTATCATTATATAATGGCCATCTCTGTCTCCTTTTATGTTTTTTTAACCTATTTTATCAGATATAAGAATAGCTATTCCTTCTTGTTTTTTGTTTGTTTGTTTGTTTTATTTGTTGTTGTTTGGTTCAATTTGTGTGGTATATATCATTCTATGCCTTTGCTGTTTATGTGTGTCTTCACAGGTGAGGTGAATCTCATGAAGACAGCATAAATGTGAGTCCAGCTTTTTAATCTAATCAGTCCGTCTGTCTTGTGAGTTGGGAATTTAACCCATTTACATTTAGGGTTGTTATTGAAAGGTATTTTCTTACTCCTTGAATTTTATCATTTTTCTTTTGGATTTTTAAATATCTTTAGTTCTGTTCTTCCCTCGCCCCCCCATTCTTTTAGGTTGGTCTTCAGTGTCTGTTGGTTTTTTGAGGTAGTAGATATAGTTTCTTTTTCTTTCTCATATGTATTTTATTCTACCAATGGGTTTAATTCTTTCTTGTGTAATCATGGTAGTGATTATTGGTTTTTTGGATTCCAGATGCAGGACTCCCTTGAGAATTTCTCATAGAGCTGGTTGTGTGGTGGTAAACTCCTGCGGTTTTTGTATGAGAAATAGAGTATTTCTCTTTCATTACTCAAAGATAGCCTTGCTGTCTATAGGATTCTTGGCTGGCTGTTTTTTTCTTTTAGTATTTTGAATATATCATCTTATTTTTTTTTTTCTAGACTGTAGAAATTCTGTTCAGGAGTCTGCTGTTAGTCTGAGGGGATTCTCTTATAGGTGACTTGATGCTTTTCTCTTGCTTTTCTTAGTATTCTTTCTTTGTTTTTGACTTTTTCCAGTTTACCTATAATGTATCTTGTAGAGGACATTTTAGAATTGAATCTGTTTGGGTATCTTTGAGCCTCATGGATCTGTAAGTCTATATCCCTATACCTGGGATGCTTTTCGCTATTACTTTGTCGAATATCTTTACAATGCCTTTTCTTTTTTCCTCCCCTTCTGGAACATCCATGATTGATTCAGATGTTTGTGTGCTTAAGGTTGCCTGACACCTCTCATCAATTTTCTTCATTTTAAAAAATTCCTCTCTCTCTCTCTCTCTCTCTCTCTCTCTCTCTCTCTCTCTCTCTCTCTGTCTCTCTCTCGTTTCTCCTGAATTATTTCAAAAAGACTATCTTCAAGATCAGAAATTCTTTCTTCTCCTTGTTCTAGTCAGCTACTTCAGCTCTCTGCATTGTTTTTTATTTCATTGAATGAATCCTTCAGTTCCAGAAGTTCTGCTGCATTCTTTTTAAAGGTATTAGTCTCTCTGTACATTTTCTATGTCATATTCTGGGTAGATTTTATTTCATTTTGTCATCTAACTTAGTCTTCTTTCATTTCACTGAGTGTCTTTAAGATTGTTTCCTGAAATTCCTTTTCAGTCAATTTAAGGGTTTCTGGCTCTGTGGGCTCTGATACTTGAGAATTTTTGTATTTCTTTGGTGGTATTATGTTTTCTTTTCTTTCTTGTATTTCTAGTATCTCGACATTGATGTCTGGTCATCTGGTAGAGGAGTTGCTTTTCTACTACTCTGGAGTGGGCTTCAAGGAAAGAGACTTTCACCTGTAGATGTGTTTTATATTGACCATTGAGTAGGTTCCCAGTATACTCAGTAGTGTAGTTTCTGTCTGGGTACTTCAGCTGTATTTATTGTTGGAGTTGTGTGTGAGTGCCTCCATGGCTTAGGCACTGAGACACTTAGTGATTCCTTGCTGAAGTTGTTGACACTGTGTTGGGTTATTGAGGATGTGAGAAAACTCTGGAGTTCTTGGGAGATGCACCTGGGTGCCCAGTAGTTCTTTTGCTGGGGTGGGTAACCCTTGGCAGGCTTGTTGACACCCCAGCTGGTGTCCTATGACCCTAATGGGTGTAGTGGGCTATATTGGTGCTCCTCAGTTTGAATGGGTGAACCTGGGTGAGGTTTCTCTTTCCTCTTATCTGCAGGCAGAGGCTCTACCTGGGTCTTTGCTTCCCTCATTTGGAGGATGAGTTGGTTGGTGGTAGTTGAGAATTTTCCTCCTTACTCTGTTTGGGTATCCTGGACTTCTGCACTCTCCAGGGATTCCATGTGTGTCTCTCCCTTGAATAAGGCAGTTGCAGGGACTGTGCACATACCTCTCACTTCAATTTGTGCCATCATGGGGGGGGCCTGTGGTTTTGGCCACTGGGTCACATGTCTGCACTCACCCCTTTTCCTGGCCTCTGCTGGTGACCCTCTTCTGTCAGTGCAGTGGAGTGGCTGGTTGGCCACCTACGCTGCAGCAGAAGCTGTTGTGGCAGCAGTGGCTGCTGCTGTGGTGGTGAGCTGCCCATGCAGTGGTAGTAGTTGTGGCAGTGGCTTTTGCAATCTACCTGTGTGGCAGCAGTATCTGTGGCAGTGTTGGGCTGCCCACACAATCATGCCCCACTTGCTCCTGCTGGCTGTCTGCAGGGGCTGCCCATGGCTCTTGAGGTCCCTTTTTGCAGTCCTGCCAGCTCTCATTTGGTCTGTCCATGGCTACTGGTGTTCCTGCACCTGTACTGTTTTTCTAGTCCCTATTTTGTCTATTTCTGCTCCGATCTTTATTATGTCCTTTATTCTGCTAACATTGGACTTAGTTTATTCTTCTTTGTCCATTTTTTTAAGTGTAACATAATGTTATTTATTTGCAATCTTCTTTTTCTTGCTGTAGGAATACATTGCTATAAACTTTTATTTTAGTATTGCCCTTGCTGCATTCCCTAAGCTTTTGTATGTTGTGCTTCCGTTTTTGTTTGTCTCAAGATATTTTTTAATGTCCCTTTTAATTTCTTCACAGGCCCATTGGTTGTTCAGGAACATTTTGTTTAATTTTCATGCATTTGCAAATTTTTCAAAATTCCTTCTGTTATTGATTTCTAGTTTCATACTTATATGGTTGAAAAAGGTTCTTGATCTGATTTCAATCTCCTTAAATTTGCTAAGATAGACCTTTATGTCTGTAATGTAGGAGGTCCAAATCTAAGATGGCACTCACATACTGTTTACCTATTCTGAAGAAATCACCTGGAGGTGCAACAGGTAGATACCTTGGTTTATTAGACTTATGAGAGACACTGATGGAGGCCAGTTGACAAGAAATCCACACCTCCATGGGGTACATACAACAGTTATATAGTTAATGGATCAAAGTAGGGGTGTAAATCACTTTCAGGCTTACGTGCAGATGCACACTCAGCTGTGTTAACAAGTTAATCTACCCACTGCTATCCTGGTGCCAGAGTGTTTGTTCTTTTTCTTAGGGTCCCTACTCCCTCCAGCATACTGTTTGTCTTAAAGGGGACATGCCTTTCCTTCAGTAGCTACCTTGGCCAGGGGCAGTCTCCCAAGGGGAAAGGGTAACTCTGATAAGCACAGGAGGGGGAAATGAGGCTGTATCCAGCATTTACCCTACATTGTCTAACACATGATATATCCTGGAGAATGTTCTCTGTGTAATTGAGCATAATTTATATTCTGTTTCTGCCAGATAGTGTTTTGTATGTCTGCTGGTCTATTTGGATTAAGGTGTTATACAAGTCCAATTTTTTTTTTATTGACTTTCTGTCTGAATAATCTGTCTGCCATTTAAAGTGGTGTATTAAAGTTTGCTGCTATTATTTTATTGCAATCTATTGTTACCTTCAGATCCTTTAAATTGCTTTATATATTTCAGATTCTAAGATGGCGACGGGTCTGGAGCGGCTGTGCCAGGAGACAGCGCGATCCTGAGAAGTGTGCGCTGTGATACCAGAGTACTATTTGCATTTCCAAGAGCAACAAAAAATGAATAAATCTTTCAACAACGAACCTATAACGACAAACAAGCAACAACAGGTTTGAGGTTTTAGGGCCGACACAAAAGAAGACTCCTGAGAGCGCCCAAGCCCTGCTGCGGATTCGAGCGAGCAGCCCGAGACAACAAAGGCCAAGTAAATCAGCAGAGACGACACAGAAATGGAGTGGAATGCGCCAGACCGGCCCAACTCTGCGACCCCTGTGAGTCACCCCCAGCAGAGCACCACTTGCAGGGCGAAG